AGCAGCTCCACCAAAACGGAGTTGTGACTTGAGGTGGACCTGAAAGAGCCCAGAAGCTCGATATCAGAGCTCCGGGCATTCTCCTCTTGACAAGGGTTCCCAGTGGACCGGAGCCGCCTCTCCGCGTCCGCGCTGTCCCCACCTGGTTCCTCTATAAACGCGATCCACGGAGCGGCAGGAGCGGCGTCAGGTCTGCCGGAGATATTCAGGCTGTTGGGATGCTCCGTAGCTGGAGACGCGGAGTAGTAAACCCTCAGCATGAAGCGGGTCCCCTCGGTCGCCCTCAGCACCCCATCCTGCACGGACAGCTCTCCGCTCTGGGTGTCCTCTGGCCGGACGCCGAGCAGCGCTGCCGCTGGGGCCGGCAGAGAGGAGAGGGTGACGGTGAGAAAGAGGAGAGAGAGCCGGTGCGGATGCAGGATGCAGCAGAGAGCATCCGCAGCATCCGCAGCCATCATGCTGAATGAACTACTGAAGGACATGGGAGAACTGGGTCACGTGGTCTTCGGATGGGATGGATGGAGCAGCTGGGTGGCCATATCCACGAAGAAGAGATGGGTATGTGACAGAGAGAGAGAGAGAGAGAGAGAGAGAGAGAGAGAGAGAGAGAGAGAGAGAGAGAGCGTGAGAGAGAGAATTCAGGAGTCATTAAATATACATGACGAACCGTGACGTAGGCCTGTCTTATTTGCTTTCTGCCACTTCCTAAAAATAGCCTATGGAAGACAGGAAATGCCCATCATGAATGATTCATGTGATGCACCCGGGATCAAACGACACTTACAACTGCAGGCTGAAAATTATATCACACAGATATCAAAGGAAATGTTAAACTAAAAAATACAGATAAACGCATTGTTTAAAGCCTCATCACAAACATCATTTAGGTCATATACCGCTGAGTTTTAAGGGCGATTTCGTCAAATTTCGTTTTGTGTGAGCATCAATGTTAGTTTGGGAGTCGCAAATATTACACAAGATGCTCTCCTCCCCTTGTTTTGATGTTTCCACTAGATGGCAGTATTATCACCTACTTCAGTGCAGCCTGCTCTGAAAAGTACTGTTTGTGTAGCCTGGTAGACTGCAGACTGCAGTAATACACGGGGTAATGTGTGTAGCATTTATTTCTCTGTCATAAAAACATGCTGTTTTTTTTGTTTTTTTTCGAATTCGACCCTGAGCAAATAAAATAATTGTTGCAAATTGCCAACACATTTTAGAAGAATTCATTTTGATCCAGCAGCTTTAAAATTCATTGTCACATAAAACTTTTATAGCCGGAATATATTATACAATACCGACCTATTAATGGGACTACATGAGATGAAGTATAAATGTGAAGCATAAAAAGATTAAATATGAATTCAATGAAACGAGGTCTAAAAAATTCCGATTAATTATATATTATTCCTATTTCCATTAGGAAAACGGGAATAGGCTATTAGCCTATTATTATTATTAGTTATTATGATTAGCCTCATCATTTGTATTATTATTATTACTATTATTTCCAGTTCACTGATCAGCTGCTCTTAAATATACAGTGAAGCCCTAATACATCTGAGCTCGATGACCACAGTTTGTCAGATTTACGAGGTGGGGAACTGAAGGTGAGTCCTGACACGTCTTAAACGCTTAACTCTCTCTCTGCTTTCCATCAGCAACACATTCACCATAGCATTTGGAGAAAAAGGCTTTGCTCGCAAATTTAAAACAATCTGGGATCAGTATATCACCAGTGAAGTAAGGATTTATTTAATTTCACAAGAACAGAACTCAATCATATCGGATTTCCCCCGATGTTGACATCTCAGATACGTTCCCTTCGCACGAAGTCCCATTATGTTCTAATAAATTTGTTCAATCAAAAATGTTTGAAAATGTAACTTTACAAAAAATGATCGGAGAATAGATTCTTTTAAAAAAAATGTCTGCGCTTTTCCTCGTATTTTAACATTTCAGTCGATTTATAAAAAAAGATATCAGGCTATATGTGGATAGTTATAATAATATAATAATATAACTGAAACACACAGGAAATGGACCAAAAGAAGTTACAGAAAAACAATAGTTCATTTCATTGTGTTTGGCTAAACCTATTTCCCTTCAAGAAGTTTTTAAAACTCTCATGGGATGAATGGTGTATTATAAATCAGGGGTGTACTGGGTCGGGTCGGTGAGCACAGCCCCCGAACAGCTCTCATATTCACCCGAATGACAGGGAGGGCCGGTAAAAAAAAAGTTAATGGATTTTTCGACGGTGGCCGATGCAGAGGCTCACTGGGCTTTGCACACACTCTCTGTGGTCGGTACACCACTGTTATAATCTCACCTTCTCTCACTGCTACTTGATCAATATTTGTGAGTTTACGGATGTCCTCATCACATTTCCACAATGATTGTCTGTTATTATTTCAGTGTCCAGATTATATAATACAATAGGTTATATTTACAAAAATGTGTGTGGGTATCCCTGAAGTAAAAGTAAAAAAAAAAAAAAAAAATCCAGATTCAATCAGCAATTATAACGATAATATTTTGCTAAACAAAAAGTTTTGAACTTCACTTACAGCCGAAGCAGCTGAGCCAACAAGTTCCCCACAGACTGAGTCATTTTCCCGTGTATGAGTGCTGGACGTTCACCTTCACATGATTAACTTGTAAATGTGAGGAGCAAAATTATTCGTATTCGAACAACTCATTTATTTTAAGAGCCTCGTTAGTAACCGATGATGTTTTCCCATTGAAAATGTTCCACATGAATAAAAGGATTTTCGTTAGATCAAAGCATTTCATTAGAAATAGACTGTTGGAATAAATGACTGTCTGAACCTACTGCACAAAGTTCTAAGTTTAAAATTATAGAAATGCTCTAACACACCACAATCATCAATGATTCATTTTGAAGTGTTATATAATTATATTGCTGTTTCGTTAGGGTGAAGTTTCTATTTAATGTTCCAGCAAAACATCCCCAAAATTCTAACTATGACATGCTACACAGTTTAACATTTAAGAGCTAATTCGAAAGCTCTGAGCCTTTGTAAATATATAACAGTTAAATACGTTTCTACTGCAAACAACAACTTTGATTATATTGAAACCACATGGTAACCAGGCTATATGACGTCTTGCTGCGCCAAAATGTCAACATGAGTCAGTGGACCTTTGGGTTTTCTGCTGATCTGCTGTATGAACCTCTGCTGACAAGAGGACGGATAAAAAAGGAAAAAGATAATGTTGGATTACATAATACATACATACATTACAGAAATCTCAGATACTGTACATGTCGGTTTCATTTTTGTATCACAACAGTGCTACGGAAGTGTATCTGACACTCAGGTGTGACCCCAAGCTGCACATCTCATACACTTCTCATGTTGAGCTGGAGAATTACAGAATCATTTTTCCAGAGGCGTCATTAGAAAGCACAGCCTGCTAGACACTTTCAACGCCTTTAATGGGAACCCTTCGTGTGTAGAAGCTGAAATGTTAACACCTTGGATAATTTGGCGGTTTTATGTAGTCGTGACTAGGTGTCGTGGGCCGGGATGAAGAGATTAAACCAGGCTACAGTCGTTACATTTTCCTCACATGTAGTTTGCTGCTCGTCTGTGATACAGCAGTGACCTTAAACGACCACTCCTCGCTTCCCTGAGCGCCCGAGGAGACTTTTGGACTCTGGATGAATCACAATGGGCCGGTGCCCTATAACATCTGGACTTAAAAGTCGTGTAATGAGTTTATAGGTGAGTTCCATGTGTAAGACCTTAAATCTCACATTGGTTTTGGATGTTTTTTAAAGGGGGCCAAAACGTTCATGTTGCCATCTCCAAATGTCATTTGGTCTTAAAAAATGTGCAATAAATCAGGTGTTTGTCAAAACAACTTAAGCGTCTACAGTACCCAGAGACATATGAAATATCCTGTTGACAAGATTGCATCTTTTCTTGTTTTGGAGCAGGCCTTCTTTTGTTCTCTTGAATTGTGTAGCCTGGAGATTCTCGTAGACCTAACAGCAGAATGTTCTGTTGGAACATTTAATTTACAATGTGCAGTCAACGATGTAGTGTGTATGGGCCACGGTGAGCTTTTGTCAGTCGTCACCTCTTAGTATGATGTGCGTTTGGGTTCATGTCATCGAAATGAACATGTAGTGGCCAAACCTGAGCTCCATCCCTGGTTAGGCCTTTGCGCAGACTTTAATTGAGCCATAAACACGTTCTAGAGTTGTTGTTTTTTTCATATGAGAGTATTAAACATTTTACTCTCAATCATGTCTTTCATCAAATGAATAATAATCTGTCCACTAATTACAGATTCTTATCTTTATAAGAGGAGCAGTCGGTGCGTCAGCCAACATGGCGTTCTCATTTTTCAATCCAGAAAGCCTTTTCCTCATCATCGTAATAACTTAATAACATGTAAATATGCGCAACCACCTGCTGATACTGAGCATTCTTCGGTTTCACTTTATTGCTCGATTCAACTTAACTTTTATACAAAATTATGAAATTATATTTCGATTGTTGTGCTATTTCATGCATGATTTAAAGAAACAGTTTGATAATTATTTCATCAGAAAACACTAGTACATCTTCAATATTTAGAACACAATCCCTCCTCACCTCTTCGGATTAAATTGTTAACCATATGAGCTGAGGAAGCTACTTTTGAGCAGTTTGTACTCATACCTCAGAGAACCTTAGAGGGGCGGTGCTGCCTCCTCTCCTCCTCCCAGCTTCTGGCTCTCACAACCGGGAAGGCTGGCTCGGGGCGTGCGCTCTTGTGAGCAGCTCCCAAAAAAATACTCAGAGGGGCGGGGGGCAGAGGGGGTGAGACAACTAGACAGGAAGACAGATCCAGATCGATGAGACCGAGGTACAGAACCACCATCGAACTTTGCAGCAGCAAAGTTTGTTCAGTTGTTTTTATTTTGCTTGTCACCTTTAGACCTCATTACGCGCACTGATCCTCCTGCTCTCCAAACCAAGAAGATGCCCAAGTCCACACCGTGCGTGTTCCCATGGTCCTCGGTGTGGCTGGCATCTTTGGCTACTTTGGTGGTGCAGTCGGTGCTCTCTTCCTCCTACTCTTCTTCCTCCTCCTCTACATATCAGGGATCTGCAGCCGGTGGGAAGCGACCGGGCTTCATGGAGAGGACGCTGGTTCTCCTGGATGTCAACACCCGCAGTCCGATCAGAGTCCTCAACGACAACTTCCTTTCTCTGCAGCTGGACCCCTCGATCATCAAAGACGGTTGGCTGGACTTTCTGAGGTACCAAAGAGCTTTGCCGTTCACCAGTAACACCGATCTGTATCGCTGTCCACCTCTTAAATGTTTGGCAGTTGCTTAATTCATTACGCACGCAGCCACGTTGTCTAAATTGTCATGGAATGAGCCAGCACGTTTCCTCCTCACTCAGGGCACTGAGTGGTCCACTGATCCACTTACTCAATGATTTTCATGGAGACCGGACCAGTCCAGGCCTTTAGGATAGGAATGTAATAAGACAGCGTTGCAAGTGAACAGTTGGTAAAAGACTATCCGTTTTGTGCTCATTGCTCTTGCAACTTTATACAGATAGTAGGCCTATACAGTGTGCCTATTAACACTGGACATGTGTGTCCCATACCCGTCTATACTCTACAATGAAGAATGTCAGTTTCACAAGTAAATCTAATTTTGAGGTTTGATTTTTTCTTCTTCTTGGAACCACAAAAATATCCAATTACTATTGAGTCCAATGCCAACCATATTGTTTCAATATTTTTTTTAATGCAGGGTGAATTTCTGACTGACTTCCATGCGTTTTTGTGACTTTTCAATTCGGTGCATTTCTCAGATTAGTAAAAAAAAAAAAGTTGACTGCACAGTAGATACTATAACTTGCACATGTTTTCATGTTTTTGATGGATTATGAAACATGGCATTTTAAAATTCAAAACTTGGCAAAATAACGTATCAAGAATTCCATGTTTATACTAAACCACTACACTGTCAAGAATAATATAGCTCGTCAGGTGCTAGAATGGATTTAATATAGTATCAGGAACATTTATTAGTTCAGCTTCTAAATCGCACTATAGTTGTTAGAGATTGGCAAATATGATCTACTACAGATGATCTATATATTATTACATCCTTATCTTTAGTACATTTCAGAAGCTGGAAACTATTGCAAAACTGTTTTATCATTGTACTATAAATATGGGAAACATTTTTAATTTTCAATTCCATCACACCCCATCCCATTCACGATTACTGTCTTGGACATAAGTTCTTTGTTAGCCTATTTATCGTTCAGTCTTTTCATAAATACTTACATACATACATACATATAACTTCACCAAGTACACTCTTTTGCTCGAGCCGAAAAACAATTATGCTGCCGCTCTGTTTGTAACACACAAAGGCCAATATGCCATACACATAAAGTAAATACCAACAACAACACATGACGATTATATACCATACACATAATGCAAATAGTCTATTGCAACGCTAGTGTGCTCAAAATGTCAACAGCATTCAAGTAGCCTATACATGGTTCAAGATGGAGGCATGCATAAATAAGGCACCAAACAGGTCTACATAATAATTCAAATAACCTGGGTCCATGTTCTTCACAGCAGGATCATCACAGCAGAGCTATTTTCCATATAGTCCAATATCAGCTCCTCAAACTAAATAATACCAGTGCATATCTCTCTTATACACCATACACCTCTTCCTCATGTGCATAAAACACACACACGTGAAATGTGCACAAGTACATTATATCATCAGCAGATTCAACAACTTAAACAACGACAAGAGGGCAGATAAAGCTCAGCTTACCTTTCAGAAATTAATTTAAACTTGACGTTAATTTTAACATTTTTTATCCCTCTGTTTTAGGAGTGCTTGCTCCTTCAAGTCTCCTGTTTTTATATTTATGTTTTGACAAGCTGTAGCGTTTCCTTATCCACAGTCATGGCTCATGAGAGCTGGGGAAGCTGCAGGTGCAAGCGTGACTGACACATTCATCAGCAATTCATTTATTTTTTGAATATTTGGCCCCTGGTTGGCCCACATTTGGCTGGCCTTGCCACAGTGCCGCCTTAGCTTGCATTGGCCTATATGGACTCGCCGGTACAGTGGTTACACTGAAGGCTGTAATAAACTAAACAACAGACGGTCTGTCTGCGGTCGACAGGCTTGCCGGCTGAAACTTTTTCCATCTTCCGATATTTTATTGATTGGTGTTTATACCACGTAGGCTATCATGGACATGTCGATGATTTATTACAAAATAAAAGTCTTTCAAGTACTCCTATTCCTTTTCAAAACAGTAAAGCTTCATATGAACTACGCTAGATATGAACTTTTTTAAAATGTCACCTACAGCTAAATTACTATTTTTCATGTTGCATTCATGGTGTTTCAGTTTATAGCCTAAAATAGCCTATTAATTTTTTAATATCATTATTATTATTATCAGTGGCACTATAAAGTTTTAGTTTTTTAACAGTCTTTCAGTACAGGTCACTTAAAACTGAAAAATCATGTATACTGTATAGAAAACAGCTCTTTTCGGGATTAAGAAATTGTGTAATTTACAGCAACGACTTACAGGTGCCCAAACCTTTCTCGATGACTTACTCTGTTTGTGCAAAAAGCCGTATTGGAACGAACTGTGTTACCACACTCTCTTATTAGGACAATGCTGCACTGCAGGAAGTAATAATGTATCTATCAGAATGGTGAGAAAAAGATAAGTAACAAAGGAAGACAAACTGGTTGGTCAGGTACAGCAAGATAATGACCTAAAACATTAGAAGAAAAGACCTAAACGGTGGCTTCACATGATGAAAGAGCAGCACAGTCTCAAGACTTAAACCCCACGGAGGGTCAGGGCACTAAACTGGACAGAAGGTGAAAGCAAAGCAAACATTTGTGGGGAATTCTGCAACAGTGTTGGGACGAACTTTCCAAACAAAGTTTCATTTCCATTGTAGAAAGAACTACACGAGTGTATTCGGCTCAAAGAGTTTGAGTCAAAGATTTTGAATTGAATTTAGGATCTAAGATTCCATGATTCCTTTTATTAATCTTTATTATTTACTTGTTCTGTGATTTAATTCCAGAAACACTTTACACGTACGTGCGTATATTTCAGTAACAACTGAAAAATCGAGGTGTTCTCAAACTTGTGTTCTGTAGTGTATAGTATATGTTGCATTAAAGCAACAAATTCGGACCGTTTTCAGTCGTCTATGGCAGATGAAAATAAAAGTATAAGCTACAGATTTCTGAGAAAATCCCATAATTTTATATCTTTATAAATAGGAGCCTAAACTCTAAATTTAAATTAGTGGAGAGTAAACCCGTCCGTCCTGTAAACATCACATATAGCCTATGCGTTGTTGTAATGCTCCGTTCCCAGCTGTGGCTGCTTCTTAAAACCTTTTTCACCTGGTGACACATGTTGGAGTCGCAGTCTGTTTCTCGGGCCTGCAGATGTCAAGGAGAAAAACTGGATAGATGTTTTATGATTAGGCCTGTGGTGCTTCAACAGCCACACCAAAGTTAAATTACATTTTTGTATCTATTTATCTGTTTAAGCAATCGTTTTTTAAATGTTTCAAATAACAGGTCCTAAATAAAGGAAACAGAACGGAATAACGGTTAAATAATTAGTTTTCACGGTTTCTGCTCCTCCCAAATTCGTCCGTGATTATAAACTGAAGCTACAAAGGCAGGTAACACTCTAATAAGGCACAGTTATGAGTTTGTCGTTAGTATTTGCAGAGTCACTGAATGTTTTCTTTCTCCTCTGTGTCCTCAGCTCCAAGCGGCTCGTGACCATGGCGCGCGGCCTGTCGCCTGCCTTTCTGCGTTTTGGCGGAAAGCGGACCGACTTCCTGCAGTTTAACAACCAGAAAAACCTCGCTAAGTTCAGAGGGCCGGGGCCAGACTACTACCTGAAGAACTACGAGGACGGTGAATAGACAAGACGTTTCTCTTCCTTTTTCCTGGCGCAGTGTGTGTTTGTGACGGACTTTTACATGGCCGTAGACTGGTCCTCGTCTGTCCGTGTGTGTCCCCTTTGTGTCTGTGTCAGACGCATAAAGTACATTTTGGAGCAGGATTTATCTTTCCTGTAAAGCTTACGTTGTTAACTTCTTTTGGCCATCGTCAATTTCCTTGTAAGACACAATAAGTTGCCAGTACTATATTAGTGACACCTTGCTGAAACGAATGCATCACCCTCGCAGTAAATCCCACCTTCATTGAGTTTATAGTGTTTGGCTTTTGATCAAAACTGTTTTAGAGAGAGGTGCTTCTAGCATTTAGTCTGACCTCACTAAATGGGGTTAACATAAAATGAGCAACAACTCTCAGTACAACACAATAGACTGTAATTTAGCTGCACCACAAAGCCTCCAAAATGACCACGAAACACCTCTTTAAAACAGTTTAAACAAAAACTCAACAATATAACCTCCATGAAGTTAGGACTTATTGTAGCCCTCTTGTATTAGATTGCATTAATTTTAGCTAGGTGTACCTAATAAAATGCCAATTGAGTGTTGACACTAAGGATGTTGTTTTTGTAACATGGAGTATAGAATGGTATAACACAAATTTGTGTTACTTTTCAACTGCATACTAAAAAATGATCTGTCACAATTACCATTGACATAGTCTGTATTTGAAAAGTAACATTGTGTTAAAAATGACTTTTGTAGGTTTAACAAGTTGTCAAATTTAAAACGGACTGAGCATACCGATGTTATTATTGTAATATTATCATAAGTGTTTAATTAATTTCTGCTTTCTATGCTGGCTTGCAGATATAGTGCGCAGTGACATTGCATTGGACAAACAGAAGGGTTGCAAACTGGCCAACCATCCTGACATAATGCTGGAGCTGCAGAGGGAGAAGGCTGCCACCACACAGCTCGTCCTGCTGAAAGAGCAACTGTCCAACATCTACAGCAACATTACAATAACAGGTAGGAGATCACACACACAAAAATATTTTTTTTTGGCACATGCTCACACCCTAAGAAACATGTTGTCCATGTTCACATAGCATAGTTTGGACTTTGTGTGTCATGCACATGCATATGTGTGCATGCACGCGTGCACTCACAGAAGGTTCAAAGCATGCCAATGTAAACCATCAGCTTTCAGAATGACAAATGTAATTTGTAAAGGAGGAATGTGGGGATGGATAGAGGGGTGCAGCAGCAGAGGCTAGTAAACAGAGCACTGACATTTTCACTGGTAACAGTTAACTCAACCTGACCGCAGAAGGAACTCTGGAGTCCTGAGTTTGGGTGGGCTACATTTCTTATCTGTTGCTGTGATTGACTGTGATGGAAATGAGGAACTGCAGGAGAAGAGTGTAAATGAGAATTGTGTCTGTTATTGACAGAAATGATCAGTTAACAGCTTTTATATGGATTTTATTTAAAAGTTATAAGTTAGTTGGTTGGATAAAGTAGTAGAGAAAATGACATGAAGCTCAATGACAAAACTAACAAAGCTACAAAAAGTGTATTTAGCATTAAATGAGCTTTAACTTTTGCTGACCAATGCAAAATAGAGCAACAGCAGTGGAAAAATACACTTAATGCTGTTCTAAGACTTTACTATTCAGTTGTCTTCTCATACTGAAACACATACATCATGTCCTCTTTAGGATCTTGAAAAGACAGTGTGTGGGAAGTGCTTTTTGGGTGGGCAAGGTTTTTGTTCCAAATCAGAGAACCACCCGGAAAGTGAGTCTTGAAAGCCAAACTCCTGGAAAAATAATTGTGAACTTGGGATTTGACCAGCAACCTAATCAAACCTTTTTTGCAACGTGGTACTAAAAGTTAAACTTACAAAGTCTTTAGATTGTTAAAAGTCTGGAGATGGTATTGTCCAGAACCCCATGTTCACTGTATAGCCAGAGGAATAGGAAGTATTTGGCCATGTGCTTTGAAAAGGCATTGATAAATTACATAAAACAAAGAAGCCAAATTTACCTTGAGTGAACCAAGTTCAATGTGTCACTAAATCATTTGGTCATTGTACACAGAAGCAGTGGCCTTGCATGAGAGGGTCTGCAATGTGCTTTGCATATTTTCAGATGGTCTCCCTTCGATGGAACAAAGTGACTCTCTGTGTGTTGCCGTATGAATGAAGGAGGTGAACATGTATCGGCTGTGTATTTTCAAATAGTCTCAAGTGCAACAGTCAGAACATGGACTTGTTGCATTTATCAAAGTAGGAAAATACATACATACAAGAAGAATTTTGACTTGCCGGTGTGAGGCGTCAGTTCACAAGTTCAGGTCAGGAGTCCTGTAGTGTAGCACCCTGTCATTAATTCTGTAGTGTTGCCAATATGCTACAAGGCACTAAGGCGCTTGCAGTCTAAAATTTTGTCCCCACGGGAACTTCAGGATGTTCCATGTAGGCCCAGCATGTTGAAATGTCTTATATATATATATATATATATATATTTGATTAAACATACTGATAGTGATTTTTTTGGGTTGTGTTCAGATGGTGTTTACATAAACGGATTTTTTGAGAAACAGTACAAGCATTAGTAATGTGGATATGATGGCTATTCAGGTTCAGTGTTTAATTCATTCAGCAGAAACAGATAAGTACAGAAAATTATAACATGTCACTATAACACTGCTTTTAAGACCTACAGAAGACAGTATTGAAATGATATGTACAATAATACATTAACTGAAGTCGAGGGCTTCCATCTAATAGTTTGCAAAACATTAGTTGATGAGAAGAGTCTTAGTCGACCAAGTTTTGATTGGTCAGTTGGTTGTAAGGAAAAAAATCAAACTCCTCAAGAAGTTGTGACACTCAGCCACACAGTTAGTCAGACATCTTTTACATGACTGGTCCCTGTGGTTATAAGATAATGGGCAGGAAATCAAAAGTGTAGGATGATTTTGTGAGGGTAAAGGATGACCACAGGAAAGTGACATGCAAACTCTGCAGGAAAACATTTTCCTATCATTCGTCAACCTCAAACATGGCTTATCATTTCAAACATGGAAGTAGCATGAAGTTAGCCACTTAGCATGGCCACTTGTTGATGTTAGATAGCGGAGATAAATATTTCTCTCTAAATTGTCTTGGTGTTACAAGTTCAGTGTGACAAATACAGCAACAAAATGTCGTCTCCTTGCTGGTTGTTCGGACACATTCAGAATCATTACTGCTTTTGCCAGTGTCTTTATCAGATGGCTTGCTTCGTGCACATGCTTGTAAAATTGCTATTTTAAAGGCTCATTATTACAGTTTTGTATTTCTCTGTAATGTAGCACAGTGTTAACAATGTCTTTTATGGCTTTCTTTCTCTGCCTTTGACTTTTCTGATGCCCCCCAAAAATATACAGTGGGATCCACAATTCTGAGACCCATTAATTAAATTAATATCAGAAACATGCTATGAATAGTCGATTAATGGCTTGAACTGACGACTACTAATCTAACTGGAAAATCTTCACATTCAGAAAAGATTCAGATTTTGCTTATTCCAATTCCCTGTTTTGATTCCAAAATGTAAAAAAAAAAAAAAGAGGTCAAATGTTTGATAGCAAAATTATCTTTTTATCTTGTTCTTTTAACTGTTAACTGGATATCCACAAAGTAAATAGTATTTAATATATTTCAAATACTATTCACTACTTTCTAGTATTTAGTTTATTCTATAGTTGTGCAGACTGTATTACTAAATTGGCTTATTAAATGGCTAAAATCTAAATGTAAGTATTAAAACTGAATGTATTAATAAAATGTATTTAATAGTGTTTACTATTTACTAGTGTTTACTAAATGCATATAATAAAAACATATGCAGATGTGCATTAAAAAAAGAATAATAGATAAAGATTAATCTAGAGCAGATGCACACAGAGAGGGTGTGAGTTGCCAGGCATCTACATGTTTGTGTGTATGTGTGTGAGCTAGTGATTAATGGAGAAAGGCAGAGACCTGGAGAGCGTGTGCGATATATAATGAACTCTCTTTTGAGTGAGGGAATATTGAACACAGGCTGCTTGTCCAGACTGAAATGTGTAGTGATACAATTTTTAAATGGAAAGAAGATGGAAGGGTGGACCTCCCTCCCTTCTCTCTCTCGTGGTACATCTTTCACACTGTTGTGATGTTGGCCGTGCATGCTAGCTCGTATCTACACAAATGGACGCGCTATTGCGTTAATGCAGGTCCTGACAGATAGCTACGTACGTCCTTGCAGATATGCCTTTGTTTGCCATAATAAAGGGTTATTGCATGTAGGGACCCATAAGCAGAACCGAAATTCAGTTTTTTTTACAGGGACCTGATAATGGGATTTTGGATTCAGTTCTAATTTGGAACAGAGTTCAGGTTTCCAATCTATGTCTTACACATGTGGTACAGTGCTAATGTCTCTTAAAATTAAGACCACATTTCCCATAAACCCGCTGCTTCCTGTCACAAAGAGGATGTTACCACTTGCTCACTTTGCTCTGCTGCAGCATTGGCCACAGAGGCTGCCAGTCTTCGGTGATGGTGAAGTATAGATAAACATTATAATGATTTACTGATAATAAAATATGAATAGCTCCTTTAAGCTTATTCTACTGTTGTACTAACTATAATTAATGATTAAATGCGAAAAACGTATGGTGATAATGAATCACCACTGAATGTTATTTTCCCACATAGTAGACATATTGCATCATTTATCTGATTGATTAGGACCCTATGGAGGATTTTCTCTTTAAATGTGAACTTCTGCTGTAATGGTTCCTATTATGCTGTAGAAGTGTAGTTGAGAGACAGAGAGTGGCGCCGTACTGCTTTTGAGCAGGTGCCATAGTTGTTATCAGACTGGTTGGTGGGGAGGGGGGGGGGGGGGGGGGGGGGGGGGGGGGGGGGCAAGCAGAAGGTCTTTATTTACCCAAAGCTGATTTACTGTGAAGTGTTCTCACAGAAACTCTCATTCTTCCAGGCACAGACACAAGCTGCAGGTCTGCCCCTGGGGAATGTTGTTCAAAAGTCTGAAGAATATTTTTCAAAGACTGTGAAGGTGGAGCTGCTGTTTTCTTTTCATGGCACAAAAAGTAGTCTGTAGTGAAGTTTAACTTGCATCAAGTGTTTTAGTGGGGAAATAACTCTGAAATAAGTTCTGAAAGAGTGACTATGTTTGCATTATGGTCTCATTATTACACTCAGTTGAACTCCAAGTATGTTGTGTAAACTAGAATCTGTGTAAAGGCCTCTCATCTCTGTGGTGGAGAGGCACTGGGATACAGAGGCACTAGGCATTTGTTTAAATATGGTCTGGTAACAATCAGCCAAGATTCACTCTGCATGTGTGTGTGTGTGTGTTTGTGTGTGTGTGTGTGTGTGTGTGTGTGTGTGTGTGTGTGTGTGTGTGTGTGTGTGTCTGAAGGCAGGTGGTGTTTGAAGGACCTTTAACAGTCTTGCTCCATCCTTTTCCACTCACCACTGTCTGACCTTTGACCCAGGCTTGTTAGAGCTATCAATAATGGGGCCAGTCCGAGCTAACACACACACACGTGCACATATGCACACACACATTCAGCAAGGAAATTAGGCTGTGAAAATACCCTGAGCTCAGACAAGGTCATGGTCAGCATTGTCTCATGTCTCCCTGCAGGAATATATCCCTCCATCAAGGATCACTTCTTCAATTCTCTCTACCCCTGCTTCCATCAGTTCCCTCTTCTCCACAACTTAACACCTCTCCCTCATTTTCTCTTTCATGTTTACTGTTAGTTTAGCTGTGTATATTGTGACTGCATGAGAAAGTCCTATGTTTATTTGATACTTCAGAGAATGAGGGAGTCGATCCGTTCAACTTGTGACCTCAAAGGCCTCGTCCGTGTGTTTGAGGCTCAAAGAATAAACACAACTCAATTTAGGAATTCCTATACTGTGTTATTCTTGTCATCTAAGGCCAGCCGATCAATATTTGTGA